TGCAGAGCTGAACGAGGTGTTTGGCTTGGAAGTCACAGTGGGTCAGCCTGTAGAGGGGCAGATCCACATCGCTGCCGTGCAGGGGAGCAGGTGGCGAGAGCACCCCAGACACCCAGGCAGCGAGTGAGGGGTGCAGGAGAAGAGGGGCCGAGAGGCACCGACAAAGAGGGACCAACACACACCAAACACATAAAATGCCACACCCTCGCAGGGCAGAGCAGGCACATCAGACTGAGCAGGGCAGGGGAGGGCAGAGGCAGAAATAGAACCGAGGACAGGCCAAGAAGGGACGTTCACACACAATAAGCCAGAGGAGTGTTGCTGGGAGTCCTTCAAGGCCTAGGCCACACGATCAAGCAAGAAGGGCAGGACTCTCCTTTCTCCAATTTTTCATGACCTTTACCTGCAGGGGTTCAGGGGAGCTAAGGGCACTGGGTCCCTAGGTTGGGGAAGGAGTGATGACTGAGGGGGCTGGCCCCCTGAGCCTGTTGAGGATGGTCCAGGCAGGGAGGAGGGACAGGGGAGTCAGGCTACAACTCCTGGACACGGCAGGTCACGGTTTCCTCTCCAGCTTGTGGGGACTTGGGTCCTGGGATGGGTCTGAGCAGAGGAAGGGAGAAAGCCGGAGCCACACACAGAGCCAGGAGGTGGTCAGTGTACCTGATCCTTCTGGAGCTCAGGGGCAGCTCGGAGGGCATATGGGGAATGAGGGTGTCCAGAAACGCCACCCTGTAGGGATACAAGCAGAGACCAGGATCACCCGAGGCCTTCTTCAGCCTCACCTCCGACCAGTCAGTCCTCATTCATGGCCGGGGCCAGGCTGACCTTGGCTCTAATTTGGCTTCTCTGGCTCCTGGCTGTTGGACCCTGGACTGATCACGGAACCTCTCGCCGGGTTCGTGTGTGTGCACTGCCTCCGCTTGGCGCTGGAGGCAGAGTAAGCGTCTAGTTGGGTTGGCTCTCGCTAGTACTGGAGTCTAGTGCTTGGACTGGGCAAAGGTTCATGGGCTCGGCTATCATTGAAAGGCGGGCGAACTGAGCCACTCGGGGGCCCCTGAGAAGAACATCCTGGCCACCCTTTTCAGAAAGATCAGCCATCGAACCCCCTGTGGCTCCCAGTTCTCCTCTGACACACATGGGGCTGTCAGGAGACAGCAACTATTGTTATTAGTCCCAAGGTCACCATCACCGACCCATCAGGGACAGCAAGCAGGCTGTCAATGGTTCAGACAGTGGGTGGACCCCAGGGAGCTCAGAGCTCAGGAAGTGGGCTGGGGCAGCCAGGCTGGTGCCCCGGAAGAGGCAAGCATCCCAAAGGGTCTTCTTCATGCCAAAGGGAGCGCAAAGTGCCCACCGATCTCAGAAGCGGGTTGAGGTGGAAAGGCCTTAGCCTCCTAACATCAGCTCAGCTATCTCACCCCTGCTCTGGAAGTGGTCCCCACTCCGCAGGGCAGGAGTCCTGGACACTGCAGGGGGTGGGGCGGGCTGTCCTCTAGCCAGCTCCCTTTAGGGCTTCAACACCCCCTCCCCCCACCCCCTGGCAAATCCTGCTTGCATCTTGCTGCTTCATGAAACCTCTAAGGTCGCAAATCCCGCTTGCATCTTGCTGCTTCATGAAACCTCTAAGGTCGCAAATCCCGCTTGCATCTTGCTGCTTCATGAAACCGCCAAGCCCCCCGCTGATGGTGCTCCTCACTTGCAAGAGGTCAGGGGGGAGCTGGCCCTGGCAGGATGTTGTGGTCCTACCTGTGCTGGGTGCCCGCCTCCTCTTCCTCCTCCTCCTCCGGATCTTGAGCAAATGTCAGCACAGCCGTTTTGTGCAGCAGGCTGAGAGAGGAGAGGGGGTTGGGGGGCCAGCACTGCTCTGTGCCATTTTAAGCCCCTGGCCACCGGCTGCAGGGTGGGGGTGGGGGCACTCTTCGACTCCCCTCCCCTTCCCTCCTCTGAGCCTCCGGCAGCCAGAAGCCTTCCCGCCACCGAGATTTCACCCATGGGCCACTGCACACGCTGCCCTCATGTCCTGGCGACCACTTCCTGAAAGTTGTTTGCCAGCTTGAACCTCAGCCTGAAAGCTTCCCGGCCCTGCCGGGCTGCTGGGTCCCCCTTCCTGTCCCGGGACGCTCTGCAGTGCCCCACCTGCCCAGCCATCCCGCCCAGGGAGGAAGGCACAGCCAGTGTTGGGGACAGGCCCCTCAGGTCTCAATGGGGCTGTCGTTTCTAACTCGGGCCCCCTTTACCTCGTTTTTGCTTCTGGTTTTTCCTAAGGGGAACTTATCTAGTTTCTCCTTTATAAAAGTCACTCTCCATCTTTGGGGAAAACTTAGAAAATACAATCCATTAAAGAAAAGTCATTCATAATATTGGTCATCCCAGTTAGCATTTGGGGTGGGTCCTTCAAGATTTTTGGTGGGGGGGAGCCTGGGGCATCTGTTCAGGTTCCTTTGAAGCCTCCCGGGGCCCTGAGTGCTTACGTCCCCAACTGCTAACCAAAAGGTTTGCGGTTCAAACTCACCCAGCCTCTTCTCGGGAGAAGATGTGGCCGCCTGCCTCCTTCAAGATTCCCGAACCAAACTCACTGCTGCCGGAAGGAAGCAGGAAGCCTCATCTTTCTCCCACAGAGCTGCCGGTGGTTTAGAACTGCTGACCTTGCAGTGAGCGGCACAATGCATCCCCCACTGCCCCACCAGGGGCCCTTCCATAAAGATGGCTGCCTTGGAGCCCCGGGCTGGGCGAGGTGGGCGCGTGGCTTCTGTTCTGGGGCAGTTCCGCCCTGTCCCGCAGGGGGGTCTATGAGTCGTAATTGACCGGACGGCAAGGGGCTTCTGGTTGTGCTTTACTTGTGGTCGCCTCTGTCCCGGAGCCCGGGGATGCACTGGTCAAGTGCCTGACCGCTACCGGAGAGGTGGGCAGTTCAAACCCACCTGTCGGAGAAGAGCCCTTGCCATCTGCTCTGACAAAGAAAACCTCTGGGCAGCGCTGTTCTGGCCGATAGGGTGACAGGGTGGCTGGCAGGCGCACCCGTTTCCCCTTGCCGTGAGTTCTATTGAGATACACAGCTATGGGGCACATCACCTGCTTTCTGGAACCTTCTGACCTTCTGTGTGTTTAGGATCCCGTACAGTGTTTGTTTTTTTAAGGGGAAGCACCTCTCCTTTTGCTCATGGTTTCACCCTAAAGGTTTGCAAACCCCAAGTCCCCAGGGCGAAGGGGCAGTGGGGCCACGGTGGGTCACCATCCCTGCCACCCTCCTCTGGCCCCTGTGCCTGGCCTCAGCACTCAGCCCCTCACTCCCTGCGCAGGGAGGCACTCAGCCTCTATCCCTGGACGAGGGTGCTGGTAGCTCACCGGCAGGCCAGTCTGGGCTCAAGGTCTGGAAGCGGCTGCCCTCTCGGGATGGGGTGGGGTGGTGGTGGTCAGGGCTTCTACTCCAGCTGTGCTCTGGGCACCCGCACACTGGATACCCGTGGCCACCTCTCTGCGGCCACCACCAGCCCCTGCCTACTGCCCCTGGCAACCCCCACCCGGAGGGGCAGGCCTCCGCTCTCCAGTGCATGCGCTCTCTGCTTTGTCCTTTGAGCTCCTGTGGCTCAAACTGAAAAAACTCCCGGCCACCCAGTCAGCTCCGACTCACAGGGACCAGCAGGCATGTCCCTAGGGTTTCCAGGACTGGCACTCTCCAAGGGAAGAGAAAGCTTGGTCGCTCACCAGAGGAGGGGAGGGCGATTTTGCACTGCTGCCCTTGCTTAACGTCCCGTCTCACAGAACATCTATGGTAGCTGTTAATATGCATGGGGTGCTACCTGCTTGGAATTCAGATGGAGCCCCCAAGGAGCACAGTTCACACCCTCTATGTGTGTGAGCTAGAGGTACCGCAGAAGACAAGTCTGGCAATCCGCACCCCTCAACCCAGCCAGGTTCTACACAGACACCCTAGGCCACTGAGAGTCAGAGCCAGCCTGATGGCCGCTGGGTCGACCATCAAGGGAACCCTCTGCTGGCCGAGCCCGCTGGGCACACCCACCTGATGTGCAGATCTGCCAGGGTCCAGCAGCTGCGCAGCTCCCTCAGCACACTGTGCACCCCGTGCAAGGAGAGCCCGTTGTCACTGAGGCTGGGGAGGGGACATAGGAAGCAACTGTTGACAAACAGGACATGCCTAGCCTGGCAGCCCCGGGCAACTCCAGCCCCTCCCAGGGCTCTGCTGTTTGCTGACCGCCACACTTGGCTGTCCCAGGTCCCTTAGCTGGCTTCCCAAAGAATTCTAGTCTACGTGACCATGCCACGCTGCCCTCTGGCTTGCGTGCTGATACCCAATCCCTGTTTTCCCCTCTCTGGCCTCAGTTTCCTCATCTGTAAGACCACCGTGCTGACTGATCGCTGATTGTGCCAAGGCCTGTCCTAAGGGCTTCATACACCCATGGCCTCATGTGAGCTCAGTTTACAAAACACAGGCAAACTGGGGCACAGAGATGTTCCACGACAGTCCTAAGATCACAAAGGGATGCAGTGACCGCGCCAGGACTGAAATCCAAAGCTGGGGCTCCACACTGTGGTTACCAACCTCCATACACACACCCCACCTCACAACTGCTTCTCCCATGCCTCCCGAGGGTCAGCCAAGGCCAGGCCCCAGGAGTCCCTCTCGCGCTGGCTCATGGTCTGCAAACTGCGGGTCTCGAGCCCTAGGCGGCTCGTTCGGTACGTCCATGTGGCCCCGAAGTAACAGTGAACAATTTTGAAGGATTTGATTCAGGTAATGGTGATTTCATTTGTTTGCAAAAATATACTGAGGGCTCTCAAGTCATTTCTAAACTGTTGTGAGGGGCTGGATAGGCTCTTCTGTCTCAAACGTTTCCCAACCTCTGGGCTACCCGGTCCCAACTCGTTACCCTCAGCCGTGGCCCAGCTTAGGCACCTAGAACAAAGGCCATGTGGAACCAAGGCCAGGGCATTCCACCCCACACAGAGACTAATGGACCCCATGGAGGGTGTGTGTGTGTGTGTGTGTGTGTCGTTGACAACCTGAGTCTCACGCATATTTGGGAATCAATAAACACTTAGAGGGAATTCCACAACACGCTGCCCCAAGAGGCAGGCGCTGGGAACAGCCCCACGACGCAGAGCCAAATCCCAGTCACCCAGGCCAGGTAGGATGGGCATCAGCTGCTCCAAGGAGTCAAGGCAGCCAAACGGGGAGAGCTCAGAGACAGGGGAACATCGCTCGCAGGGTGTGCAGAGCGGTACCCGATGATGAGGGCCTCTCAGGTGACTACAGTGGAGACGATCGCTGTGGAAGCCCGACGTGTTCCTGCTGCTACTGCCAACCTACTTGTAAGACCCCAGCATGTCCCGCCCACCCCAACAAACCTCACCTCACCTCGGCACATCCAACAGCCCAATACCCTCCTGGCCATCCCAACCCCCCACAACCTACCTCTGACTCCAGTACCAACCCCACCTTCAAGCACGCCACTTCCCAGCCCAACCCCTCATCTCCCACCCACCCTGATACCCCAATGCTGTCCAAGTGCAGCACCTCACCCCACCCCGCCCCAGGGCTGCAGCCAGGACCACCCAGCTGAAACGCAGGTATTGGCTGACAATGAACGCCACTGACAGCTCTGCATGTGGGAGGGGTTCTCGGCCCAGGGAGGGAGCAGGGGCTCTCGGCCCTGGGAGGGAGCAGGGGTTCTCTGCCCTGGGAGAGAGCAAGGGTTCTCTGCCCTGGGAGAGAGGCAGGGGTTCTCTGCCCTGGGAGAGAGCAGGGGTTCTCCGCCCTGGGAGAGAACAGGGGCTCTCGGCCCTGGGAGGGAGCAGGGGTTTCTTCTGAGGCAAAGAGGAAACCTGCCCCAGTCGCTCCGCCTTTGCCGGAAATCAGGAGAGAACAGGGGTGGCGGGCACTCTTTCCAGCAAGGTTCCTGTTTTAGGGACCTCTGCAACACTATTTCTAATGACCGTGGGCGTGGAACCAAGTGTGGCAGGGACTGCCTGAGGCGCTCACAGACCAGCCCTGCCACCCCTCGGCGGGCTGGGCGACTGACTTACTCCAGCTTCCTGGCGATGTGCAGCTGAGACGCAGCCTCGACCATCAGTCGGCAGCCTTCATCTTCTAACTGGTTCCCTGAGAGGCTGAGATGGAGGGGTCGGAGTTCCCAGAGGCCCCTGGCACTCAGCTGGCCCCTCAGGAACTGCTCCCCAGACATCCCGCCCATGAATGAGTCTCCTTCCCAGCAAACACGAAGACGTGCTTCCTACTTTCCTAGCACAGCCCTGGGCTCCTCCACCTCCATCCTCACAACAACCCCACCTAGGAGGTGCCACTACCGCGCACTCTACCGACGCGGCCAGCGAGGCGCCGAGTGAAGACGGCACTCGGTCAGGAGAGGACCTGGGATTGGAACCCAGGCAGCCTGACTTCCAGCCCCACCCTCAACCCTCCCTTTCCACTGTGGCCTACACCTTGTGACACGCGGTCAGCAGAGAAACCCCGGGGGGCTGTGACCATGCACTAGAGGGGCATCTGGTCTGGGGGTGAGGGAAGGCTTCCACGATGTTAAAGCCACTCACTAGAAAAATGCAACTTCAACAGGGTTGGGGAAAGAGAGGGGAAAGGCACTCCTGGCAGCTGGGACAGTACGTGCAAAGGCCCTGTGGCATCACCCGGCTGAGGAGCTGGACCCAAGGCCGAGCCGGAGGAGGGTCTGATGAGCCCGAGAGGTGCGGACGGCATTTAGGACCACACTGGGTCTTTGGGGTTGGCCTTTCTCCACTGGAAGGGTTCTAAGAGAAGAGGGTCGGCAGCGGAGACTCCTGACCAGACGGGCAGTTTTAGCAGTTTCCCTCTGCAGTGGTTCTCAACTTGTGGGTCGTGACCCCTTTGGGGGTAAAACGACCCTTTCATAGGGGTCATGTAAGACCATCGGAAAACACATAAGGATCTCACAATATATAATTACATATTGTTTTGTGATTAATCACTATGCTTTAATTATGTTTAACCATGTTCAATTTGTAACAATGAAAATACATCCTGCATATCAGATATTTACATGACAATTCATAACCGTAGCAAAATTACAGTGATGAAGTAGTAACGAAAATAATTTTATGGTTGTGGGGTCACCACAACATGAGGAACTGTATGAAAGGGCTGCGGCATGAGGAAGGTTGAGAACCATGCTCTACTGGATGGAGGAGCCGGGCTAGAAACGGGAGGCCCATGGGGAGGTTGATGGGGCCATCGGGTGAGGGGTTGGGGTGGCCTAGACCAGGACTGAGGGTGAAGGCAGGGAGGGCAGAAGAGCAGGAGAGGGTTTGGACAGCTGCTTAGAGACCTCCTTCACCCCCACCCCAGGGCCTGCCCAGCAGCCTAGCGTCATGGCAACCTCTCCAGGTCCCACCTGCTCTGGGAGAAAGAAGAGAGAGAGAGAGAGAGAGAGAGAGTCCTGGGAGGTGGGGGCTTGAAAGCAGGCCCAGGCAGCGTGGGCTGGGGGCTTTCTCTTGCACTGATCTCCGTGGTTCCTGCAGAGGAGGTCGGGAACCAAACTGCCTGGCCTTAGCCGGGGTCTGGCCTCCTTCTGGCTGGCTGCTGGCTGGCTGCTTCCTCTGCCCAGCATGCACGGGGTAGCACCCAATTCCCAGGGGGCAGGGGAGGTGTCAAGGAGATGGCAAGTGTTCAATAAGTGGGAGCTACTGGGACGACCTGACTGGGCCCCCACATCCCAGGGAAGCAGGAGGTGCCTCTCCCACCCCACTCCTGTGCATCCTGCCCCAGCCCCGCATCTCCTTCCCTGGGGGTGGGGGGCAGACAGGATACTCACTCCACTTCCTCCAGGCAGGGGCCACCCCGAAGCAGGGTGGAGAGTGTCTCCATGTGGTGGACCCGGAGCTGACGCTGGGGGAGTCTGCGGACAGGCGGAGGTGGGGGTGGGGGTGGGGCAGTGGTCAGCGGGCTCAGGACATACATTTGTGCCGTGGCCCCTCCAGCTCTGAGTGCCAGGCCAGGCCAAGCCAGGCATGAGAGCTGGGGGAGTCAGGAGAGACGGACCTGGGTGAGAACCTTAGCTCCATCTCTTCATATTTAAGTACGTTGGACAAGGCACTTAACCGGTCTGATCCCCGGCTTTCTCCTCTATCGAATGAGAAGAATGATGTGGGCCTCCCCAAGACCTTCCAAAGGAGGACAGGGAGGTCATGGGTAGGAGATGTTCAGCTCCGTGCCCACCATAGAACCCCACCCAAAGCCCCACTCTCTGCCATCGAGTCCATGCTGACTCATAGTGACCCTACGGGCCAGGTAGAACTGCCCCTGTGTGCTGGCAAGACTGTAACTCCTTACTGGAGCAGAAAGCCCCCTCTTTCTCCTGAGGAATGGCTGGTGGTCTCGAACTGCTGATGTGGACGTGAGCAGCCCAAAACTTAACCACTATGCCACTAGTGTTCCTCGCAGCATCTATCAACCCCCTGCAACCCAAACCCACTCTCCGAGACCATTTCAACCCACAGCTACCCCATCGGAGAACTGTCTTCTGGGGTTTCTGAGAAGGGAGTCTTCACAGAAGCAGACAGCCTCATCTTCCTCCTGCGCAGCAGCGAGTGGATTTGAACTTGCTCTTAGCAGCCTCACATGCAACCCATTACACCAGCATATAACCGGGCCTCGATAAATAGTGGCTGTGATTATTCTTGGAGAAAGACGAGGTTTTCTACTTCCATAAAGAGTTACCATCTCAGAAACCGACAGAGGCAGACCTACCCTGCCCTATAGGGTCGCTGAGTCAGCCTGACTCGATGCCGTGAGTTGTGATTATTGAGCTTATCATTATTGCTGTGGCGATCATAGGGCTTCGATCCCAGCCTGGAGAGATTTTTCAAGTCTTTTCTCTGCCTTGTGTCTGTCTTCCCGTCCCCTCCCCTTCCCTGGACGGGCACCGTGACCTCTAACATCACAGTCCACTCCCCAGGGCAGTGGATGCCACGGAGCTACCTGAGGGTCCAGCTTCTGGTCAGTGCTTCTTCCTTCAGGTTGGCATTTCCTTGTGGGTCCGGGGCTCTGCCAAGAACAAGCAAAGCATTGCCCTGGGTCCAAGAGTCTAGGGTCTAGTGGATCGAGCCTCTCCTCTTGGCTTCTCAGGGCTTGAGGCCCTACCACCCCACCCTCAGGGAACGAGCGGCACCCATAGCTGTTTGCAGGCACCCACGGGGCTAGTCAGCAAAGCAGCAGGAGCAAAAGTTTGAGGTCCGACAGAGCTTCTGTTGAAACACCGGCTCTGCCATGCACAGCTGTGTGGACTTGGATAAGACCTCCCCCAACTCCCCCCACAACCCCACCCCACACCAAGCTTCCACTTCATCTTTCCTAAACTGGGATGGCGATGTCTAATGCACAGGGTGTTTGGAGACGGGATGAGGTGATGTATGGTCAGTTGCCCAGCATAGGCACAAAGTGGACAGTCAGCCAAAGGAAGGTGCTGTTGTCTATGATGTGATGGTCTCCATTGGAGAGATGCCATCTGGGGGCCCAGACAACAGAGACCATCAACCAGGCTTTGTACAAACCACAGGGCCTCCCGATTCCTTCTCATCAAGCCAAGAGAGGACCGGGGCCTGCAGGGAAGCCAGGCTTCTGGGCTCTAGTGTTTCACAGTGTCTCTCTCAAAGGCTGTCCTTCAGTAATGATGGAGATACTCTGTATCCAGGCCATCCCCTACGAGATCCAGGAAGCACTTGAAATGTGGCAGATGCAGCTGATGAGCAGACAATGTCCACAAGCTGAAACAGCGATGTGTGGCTAGTGGCTCTCTTGGCTATTGCAGCTTCAGAGAGGAGGAAGAGACATCGGTGCTACCAGGTCATGGTCTAGGTAGGGAGACTGAGGAGCAGGGACAGGTCAATAAAGAGCCTGGACGCCAGGCCCAGGAAGAATGCTAGTGTTGTGGAGTTGAGTCTAACTCACCCCCATGTGGCAGAGTAGAACTGCCTCGGAAGGTTTACCCGGATGGCACTCTTTCTGGGAGCAGATCACTGGCCCTTGTTCATTTTTTGGGTCCCATGGAGAGGCTGGTGGGGTTGAATGGCAACCTTTGGCAAGCAGCCAAGTGATTCCCTGCTGGATTCCCCACCCAACTCCTTCAGACAGCTGGAACAGCTGTGCCATGCCACCTGCCTGGCAGCTTTGGCCTAGGCACATTGAACGCATCCAGGCTTTTAATTCACAGAGCAACTGCCGGGTGTAGGGACAATTGGCCCTTGCTTTGTGCCAGCAGAAGTCTCCCCCACAGAATGAGTCCAGCAGAGGCTTCCTCTCGTTTCCAGACCCAGCAGGAAAAGCTGAAGCCCTTTGTCAACCCTGCGGAGTAGCTCTTTCCTTAGGGCACTTCCCACCCTCCAGCTCTGTGCCCAGGGCTCTTCCTCAGCCTACTCCAAACTGCCTGAGCTCAGGTGGCCTCTCAGGATGGGCCCAGACCCTCCCCATCCCTGGCTTCTTACCCGTGCAGCTCTGAAGTTGTCTCCGGGGATGGGGAGAACCGGAGGATGAGCTCCTCTTGCCTGCAGGTCAGACACCAAAGCATGACACCCTTGGACTGCGGGGCCGGGGCCTCACCCCATCTGCACACAGCGCCCCCCCACCAAATGTCTAGAGAAACGCCCAAACAGAAGGGCTCCAAGTCAGATAGGTAAGACCAGGACGATGATGAATTCCGAATGAGCATTTTAAAATGCAGGACAATGTTTCACCACAAAGATCAAGACAAATTAAGCACAAGATGAGTTTTTATGGGAGCGAGACTCCCTGGTGCAAATAGACCAGCGGTTCTCAACCTGTGGGTCGCGACCCTTTTGGGGTCGAATGATCCTTTCACAAGGGTCACCTGTGACCATCAGAAAGAATGAATATTTCACAATATACAATACATATAATTTTGTGATTACCATATATACTCGAGTATAAGCCGACCTGAATTTCAGCCGAGGCACCTAATTTTACCACAAAAACTGCATAAAAAATGTGCTGAAAAACTTGACTTATCCCACATGGAAGAAGCACACCAGCCTGTGTGATCACGAGGTGTCGAAAGGATCAGGTATCAGGCATCAAAGAACAAAAAATCATATTGTGAATGAGGGGGGGAGTGCAGAGTGGGGGACCCAAAGCCCATCTGTAGGCAACTGGACATCCCTTTACAGAAGGGTCACGGGGAAAAGACAAGCCAGTCAGGGTGCAGTGTAGCAATGATGAAATATACAACTTTCCTCCAGTTCCTATATGCTTCATCCCCACCCACTATCATGATCCCAATTCCACCTTACAAATCTAGCTAGACCAGAGGATGTACACTGGTACAGACAGGAACTGGAAACACAGGGAATCCAGGGCGGATGATCCCTTCAGGACCAGTGGTGAAAGTGGCGATACTGGGAGGGTGGAGGGAGGGTGGGGTACACAGGGGGAACCGATTACAAGGATCTACATATAACTTCCTCCCTGGGGGACGGACAACAGAAAATTGGGTGAAGGGAGACATTGGACAGTGCAAGATATGACAAAATAATAATTTATAAATTATCAAGGGTTCATGAGAGAGGCGGGGAATGGGAAGGGAGGGGGGAAAATGAGGAGCTGATGCCAGGGGCTTAGGTGGAGAGCAAATGTTTTGAGAATGATGAGGGTAATGAATGTACAAATGTGCTTTATACAATTGATTTCTGTATGGATTGTGATGGTTGTATGAGCCCCCAATAAAATGATTTAAACAGAAAAAAGAAAAAAACTTGCCTTATACACGAGTATATATGGGAATCACTATGCTTTAATTATGTTTATGTTCAATATGTAACAATGAAAATACATCCTGCTACAGAGAAGATTAGCCTGGCCCCTGTGCAAGGATGACATGCAAATTCGTGAAGCATTCCATATTTTAAAAAGAAAAGAAAATACATCCTGCATATCAGATGTTTACATTATAATTCATAACACTAGCAAAATGACAGTTAGGCAGTAGCAACAAAAATAATTTTATGGTTGGGGGGGTCACCACAACATGAGGAACTGTGTGAAAGGGTCGCCGCACGAGGAAGGTTGAGAACCACTGAAATAGTCAAAGCTGGCTCAGCACCACGGAGAGCAACACATGGCTCGGCATTCCTTGGGCGACACCCGTGTATGTAGATTATTCATCCATCCACCCACCCACTATTGATTCACTAGACTCCCTGCCTCAGTTAGGCTATGAAGGTAAAACCACAAAACTCACGGCCCTGGAGTCCATTCTGACTCAGGGTCCCTAGAGGACAGAGGGGAACTGCCCATGGGGGTTTCTGAGGCTGTCACTCTCTGTGGGAGTAGGAAGCCTCATCTTTCTCCCGCTGAGCAGCTGATGGTTTTGAACTGCCGACCTTGAGATAGCAGCCGGATGTGTAACCCATTCTGCCACTAGCTATGGTCCAGCAGAGTCAGGCCTGCTCTGAGGAATCTGCAGACGACGTGCATCTTCCCCTCCCCTCCTTCCCTCCCTTTCACAGACCCCGACAGTCAGGAGCCGTCTGCTCACCCGGCCTGCAGCATCCTGATGGCTGGACACATGACCACCACCTTGATCAAGCTGAGGAGGCCGGACTCAGAGACGGTATTGCGGCTCAGGCTGCAGGGTGAGCGCAAGGTTGGCAGGAGAGAAGCCCCACCCCATGGGCCCCAGTGTGGCAGGGAGCATGGCCAGCCTTGAGGACAGGGGGTGGAGGGGTGGGAGTGGGGGCTTCTTACTCGAGCCTCTGGAGCCTGGGCAGCCCAGGGAGCAGCCGCATGACGTCCAGCACCTCCCGGTCCTTGAGCTGGTTGTTCTGCAAACTGCAGGGAGACCGAGGCTCGCTCTCAGCCCTGAAAACCTCATGCAGCAAACACAAGATGGGCCTGCTCCCTGGAGAGGCCCTCTGAGGACCTCACTCCTGTCCTGAGTCAGCCTCTGTGTGTGTTTGGGGGTGGGGGTAGGGGCAGACAAGCTTCTGCTTGGTGGCCCAAGAGATCCATGGGACTGGCTGTATCCGAGCACCCTACTCCCAGGACTTACATCTGGGGGATGCTCTTTGGTCCCCAGGGGATGAGGCAGCATGGAGACTAGGAAGCTTCCAGCCTCAGCACCAGCCCTGACTCCCCAGGCCCAGCACATGTCTTGCTGAACCCATCTGCCTCACCTGTCCACTGGGGCCCACTCCCCATCCCTGACTGGGCCCTGACTGGGGTGGGGTGGGGGACAGACGGGCTGCTACTCTGTAGAGGACAGAGAGCCAAGGCCGGGGGATGGGAAGGAAGATTAAAGGGGCTCTCAGCAATCAGGAAAGAAAAGCCAGTGCCAGCAAGCTCCCTCTGTCCTACCTACCGTGTCCTGGCCAGCGTTAGTGCTGCCCAAAGACACCCAGGAGAGGGGACGGTGGGAGCCGCGGCCCAGCTCACACTCCCTCGTGCCAGGCTGCCTCTGCCTGGTCGAAGGGGCACTTTTTGTAAGTCCTGCAAGGGTGTTGTTTTAGCTGGTCGTGGCCCTGCCTGTGACCTGCTCGGGAGGATCTGTGGTCAGTCTGAGACACAGGACCAGAGGGTATGTGCTTGTGCTAGCGAGTGCCTGCAGCCCATGCAGATGTTGATCTAGGGGTGTGTGTGTCTCCTTTCTCCCAGGGTCACAGGAAGAGGGCGGGGGCCTCAAGACCGACGCCTCTCCAAGGTTAAGGTGACCAGATTTTAACATTGGTAAAGCGGAACACCATTGATAAAACTCATATTCCGGCGAAATAGCCACATGGCAGCCGAAAACCGTATACCCTAGCTTGTCGTGCATTCTTTCCAAAAATCGGGACTTTTTAAAAACACCGCAGGACGTGGGACAAATTGTTAAAATTCGGGACTGTCCTGCCAAAAGGGGGACATCTGGTCACCTTATCCAAGGTGCCCCCCCCCCCCAATCACTACATAAGAGAACAGCTGCTCGGGGAGCTCCGGGGGGTGGGGGTGGAGTCATTCCTGCCAGTTCTAGGGCAGAGACTCCCTCTCCTGGGTCTCTCTCGGAACACCTACTTGTCAGTCCCCAGTGGGATGCACAGGGCGCAAAGGGTGACCTGGGATGTGAGCTGTGAGTCCCCTCCCCAGCCGGGGACGCCCCAGCAATCACTCACCTGAGCTCTTCCAGCTGTGGACAGAGGGCCAGAGCCTCCAGCAGGTGGCTGAGGCCTTTGGGAGTGATCCTACTTCCGGTGAACCTGTGCGGTGAACAAAGATGGGATGGGAAAGGGGTCGGGAAGGGAGTAGTCAGGGGAGGGGGGAGAGGAGGGAGGGGAAGGCCAGGCTTCCCAGCTGAAGACCCCCTGGGTCACAAGCCCAGGCTCACCCCAACTTCCTCAGACCCTTCATCTTTGGCAGGCTCCTGGACAGCGCTTCGGCAAAGGCATCCCCACACTTTCTGCTCTGAAAGCTGCCGCGGGGAGAGGGGAGGGGCAGTCGGTCAGTGCTGGGCAGGGTGCCCAGGACAGAAGGGGCCCTCTGATGTTGTCACCCACTCCCTCCTCTCCATGCTTTCATCATGACTGTTGGAGTTGTCGTCACAGACACAGGTGGCCAGACCCCAGAACCCAGCGCATTGCCACTCAGCCGGCGACACTGTGTGCGACAGGGACAGGCGGCCAGAGCTTTCTTCTGCCGCCCCAGCGGGTGGGTGAAACTGCCAGCCTCGAGCTTGGTAGTTGAGTGCGAACCATTCCTGCCACCTGGGGACCTGCCTGCTCAGTGGGTGCATCCGAAGCCCCCATCCTTAGAGAAAGCGCTAGAACGGGGAACAGTTCCTCGCCCAAGCACGGCGTTTCCCAGCCCTCTACGCAGCTCCCCGTGGCCACGGGAGCTCGTCCCCACCAATGGAATCGGTGGTCGTGATCTGAGCTTTTGCCCACTGGTCACGTCTCTGCCACGTTCCCTCAGTCCCCGCCCCCAGGCCAGAGCACAGGTAAGCCCTGGCCTGGCCTCGCCATGCAGGTCAGGAGGCTGCAGGAGATGATGGCCAGGAGATGGGTCCCCCGCTTGGGACTCGGGTGTCAGAGAGAAAAATGAACTTCTCGGTGGTTAATGGCGCTGTATGTGGAGGCGGGGAGGGGGCATCTCCTGGGTATTGACGCTTAGTCTTTGCCAAGTTAAGACGTGCCTTGAAACCACCTCGTGCCAGGTCCTGGGCTAAGGGGAGCTTGTCTCTTGGCCCCTTCTCACAACACCCCAGGGAGTTAGACGGAGTCCTCTCTTCACTGAGAGATGACAGCCCCCACCCAAAGCTCAACAGCCTCGAGAAGTACAGCCCAGGTCAGCACCAGCGGGGGCAAGAGACTGCAGCTGGACTTCAGAAAGCTGTGAGGGAACGGGCTCCCTATCCATGCCCTAAGCTCATGCCTCTTCGGTCCTGATAGTCAATCTTCCTACCCAGCCTCCCTCTGCAGGGTCTGCCCAGGCCACGGGCCCCCACTCCCCACCTCTCCAGGTACCTGTTCCCCAGCAGACCACACGGAGTGGACCTTCCTCTTACCTGAGATGCTCTACCTGCTCACAGCCCACCAGGGCCTCTGGGCAGTGGGGCTCCAGGGGGCAGCCTTCAAAGTCCAGGTGGATGGGGGCAGCCCTGTAGCTCAAGATGTTGGCCAAGGCGGCCAGGTCAGTGTAGGTCAGCGGGAGATTGTGGAAGGACAGTGGGCAGGGGAGGTTTTGGGCAACGAGTCGGGCCAGCTCTGGCTCCTGGGTCTCGCCCACACAGTGACACAGCTGCATAAACTTTGGGGCCCTGAGCCTGCGGGTGGTCAGCTTCATCAGCGTCTGCACAACAGCGGTCTGCTTGGCCGCCACAGCCTCGCTGCCCTGCTGCACCAGGCTGATGAGGAAGGGCCGGCACGCAGAGGATGCCAGCCCCACCAGGAACGTGGGCAGGTGGTCCAGGAGACCCAAGCTGGCATTGGTCCGAAGAGTCCAGTGGGAATGGAGGGTGATGTAGCCAGAGAGCGAGTCTGTGTCCACCCGGGGGCTGACCATCAGCTGCAGGGCTGCGAGGAACTCCTGCAGACTGAGGTGGGCGAAAGCATAGCCCGTCTGGTGGCGCCCAGGGCCTGTGCGGACACTGAAGGAAGTCAGCAGGCTGTGGGTCGCCCCAAAGGCCAGCATGGCAGGAGGAATATCTCCTGCCGAGAAGACAACCTTCCCAGCCCGCAGGCCCTGCAGGGCCACGTCACTGAGGTCCAGGAGGAACTTGGGGCTGAGGGTGCGCACCCTCTGTACAAAGAGCTGGGTGACGGTGGGGAGGAGGGTGGCAGCCTGGCCCGGGGGCGCATCCAGCAGCAGGTGGTGGAGGCATTTGCAGGCCACCTGGCACAGGGCAGGGACTGCACACATACTCCAGAGGCGCCCATCTGCCCGCACCTCCGCCAGGGCTGCTGCCTGCAGCAGCGACTGGCCCTGGAAGAAGCGGCCCACGTACTCCTCCACCCTGGGCCTATCAAAGCCCCACATATGCACCATGGCCGCCTCCACGGGTAGACACTCGGGCAGCTTTCCAGGACGGGAGGTGGCCAGCACCCAGCAGCCAGGGAGAAGGGTCCCATTGCAGAGGCCGGAGAAGAGGGCGAAGGCGGGGAGGGGAGCGTTGGGGTCTTCCGTCTTCCTGGGGGGACAGGTCCAGAGGGCCTCGTCCAGCCCGTCGAAGATGAGCAGGACGCGGGATGCATGCTCCTGTAGGTACCTGAAGACGCTGTCGGCCCCCGACTCGGGCCTGGGGCCGAGATCAAAGAGGAGCTGCAGCAGCGTTAAGGGCCCCGAGATCTGGTTGAGCTGGCGGAATTCGAAGAGGAACAGGGCCTCGAAGCGCTCCAGCTGCCCGCCAGCCCACTTCCGGCAGAGCCAGTGCGACAGTGTGGTCTTGCCCATGCCTGCCTTCCCCAGGACCACTGTGACTCTTCGGCCCTTCCCCGAGCTGGGGTGGAAGAGGTCCCGGATGCCATCTTCTGCCTCGAGGTCCCCCATGATGGCCTGCTCCTGAGTATCTAAAGGTGCTGGGACCCGGCTCCGTTGTAGGATTGGGGCCACGTGGAAGGAGCGGGGCTGTCCCGGCCTGGGGTGCTCATTGTCATAGCGCTGCTGGGTGGAGGTCCGCAGGAGCCGCAGGTACGGCCTGGCAGACTCTGCGGGGAGGGAGGTGGCATGAGGGTATCTCCTTGCCCCCCACCCCGACCCCCATTGCGATAGGTAGGCTTATTGTGCCATTCTGGCCAATAGGAACATGTGGGATTAATCGGGACGCAGTTTGATTGGAAGGAAAAGAGATACATGGCTCAGCAAGGCCCAGCCCTCTCCCTATTACTCTCTGGGGATCAGACCAGCATGCGGCTACTTTAGCTAGTTTTCTGCCTCATCTTGTGAGCTACACTACCTGTGAGACAGCCAACCCGTGGATCATATCACTAGAGCTTGAGGTTCCTTCAAGACCTGCTTCGCCATGCTGCTGGTGCAGACATAGCTTGAGCTTGAGGCTGGGGGATCCTGTCGCCTTGTATGGCTTGGGTTCGCTATCCCATCCAGGCCTGCTTCGCTGAGCTCCTGAGCTGCTGGCTGTTGGTGACCAGCCCTTCTGTTTGCTGCCTGCGGGCAGATGCTGCCTGCATTACCGAAGGGAAGGCTCAGCTGTCTGCTTCCTTGACCTTGGACCCTGCAGCCCTTGTGAGTTGAAGGATTTCCAGTATATTAACTGTTCCACAGAAGTGAGTTGAACTGAGCCCTCTGTACTGCGGTGTGGACTAATTAGCTGTTATATTCCTTTGGGCTGTATACATCTGTCCTCATATACTGATATATAATCATAAGTGTCCTGGTTTTGTTTCTCTAGAGAACCCTGTCTAACAGACCCATCAAGGGTCAGGCATAAGGGGTGGGGAGGGTGGTGCAGAAGCACAGCACGAGGGAACGTCTCTGCAGAATCCCAGCAGGGGACCAAACCACCAGCTCCACTGGCCACTTGAACCTGAAGATGGAAGGTGGACATGTGATTCGTGGCTCGATTTGCCTTGCAAAAATAGTATGTGTTTAAAGGTTCCCAGAAGATGAGGTGTGGGGGAGAAATGCGGGCACCTCCTATGCAAGCAGCTCACTGAAACAAGCTCTGACGTGATACCTGAACCACGACATGCCTCACTGGTGCCCACAACCCGGTGACTCAAGCGCTGGCCCATCAGGTCCTCGGGGCTGGAGCATAGCCCTAGTACCTCTGCCATTCGGAGTGCGGACCTTTTAATGGCTGGGGCATTGAGTGGTGGCCAAGGGGACAGTGCTGAGGGGACACTGGGGCAATGGCCTGTTTCCTATCGCTGTGACTCCTCTGCCCACGTGTGAACATTCTAGAGGGAGTACCAGATGAAACAGGGGTGGTGGTGGGGGGGACACGTCTATCTTCTCTGTGCCCACTGTCCTGGCCAGTCCCCAGCAGTCCCTGGTGTCTCCGCTACGTCCCTCATCACTCCCTGCCCTCACCTGGCCCAGGCCTGAGACCATGTTGGTCTCGCTCCTGGGACTCCCTCAACGCTGATGACAGCATGGCTCCCTGGAGCAGCCTGGGGAATGAGTTCCTTCTAGCAACTTCTGCTGAGTCATTTCTGGAGACGCCCCCTTCCACATGCCTTGTGCGCTGAGTGGGCTTCCTGCCCACGCAGGCTCCCCAGTCCCTGTCTCCTGTATGCTCAGAAGACAAAGGTCGCCAGCCCCTTGGACAGCGCCCAGGAGCCGTGCTCTGGCCCGAGGTCACGCAGCCTCAAGGGGCGGCCCGCCCCCACCTGGCGCTCACCCAGCTGCTGTTCCTTGTACTGCTTCTTCCTGTGGGGCGAGGACTCACAACTGTGATATGGGCGCTTGAGGCCTGCAGAGAGGAGAAGAACGGAGGGCTGGGGCTGGAGAGGAGCCACCCCAGCACCTGGGAGCGGCTCTGTGCCCCAAGAGGAGCCAGCCCAACCCGTGGACCTACATCCAGAACTGGGAGAGGTGGGCGGTGGGCAAAGGCTACACGTAAACCCGCCTCTGTTGACTGGTGGGTCCCAGGCCCAGGAGGGCGGAGGGGTCGGGGCCTGCGGGTTTCCCAGCCGAGGGTTTAAGCAGCAAGGCCCACAGTCAACAGCCTCCCCAGTACCCAGACTCTTTCTCCACCAGGGAAGCACCACGCTTGGCGGGGGCCTCTGTGGGCCATGGAAGGGAAGCTCTGAAAGGCCGTGGCCAAACCTGCCCCCATCCTCCCCCGCCAGTGTGCCTTCACCCCGTATCACCCAGCATGCACCAGGAGGGACACGTCCAGGGGGTAGCTCATCTGGAAGGGGTTCTTGGGCCCCCTGAAAGGTATTCTGGCCATGGTTGGGAAAGTAAGAACAAAAGGAGTGAGAAGAAGGAGGGTGGGCAGAACGGAAAGAGGCTGGTAGCAGAATTTTAAGCAGGGGCACAGGCCTCTCCTCTCGCTGGGCACCGCCGACTGACAGCCCCCGCACGGCTACGTGGTCACTGTTTTGCCCCTGGATGGTGGGCAGGCTTGGAGGCTCCAAAGGGGTGCTGGCCCCAGTCTGAGATTGTTTCAGGGTTCTGGGGCTCACGGGCCGAGGACCAGTCAGGCCTGGTCAGTGCTCAGGGCTCAGGGCAGAGGCAGTAGGACCGCCGGGGCAGGAGCCTTGATTTGGGATCATCAAGCGGGGTCTTCCATGAAAGCTGGTGATGCTACTGCCATGCACACAGCACTGGAGAAGTCACCCCTTCTCCAGGAATGCAGGCTCTGGGGGCACACTGTGGCCCGGGAGCTAAGGGGTTGGTCACCGCTGACCCCTGACCCTGCCACGCACCGTCAGAACACTCCCGGATCCTCAGAGGGGGTGCCCCGAGAGGAACCCAGCTGGGCTGGGAGCATGAGGCCCCCAGGCTGGGGGGACAGGGAAGTGAGAGCCCGCTGCCAGTGAAAGCAGACTGGGAAGCAGAAGGTTTCTCTGATGGGGACAGGCGTCAGGGCCGAGAGGAGGAAAAGGTGAGGGGAGAGGGGCAGGGGTAACTGGCTGGGTGGACAGTGGCTGAGCATCCCCCACCCCCCGGCCTCTTCCAGATCTGAGGGGGGGATGTGTTGCAGTGCTCACCCCCTCTTGTTCCTCCCCGCCCCCCAGATCTCACCATGGCGGGGCTGAGATTCAGGGCAGCTTTCCTCGTCAGATCCACGATGGTGCGGGAGCCCTGAGAGAGAGGGGGCACCGTGTGCCACAGTGAGCTTTGAGGCATGCCAGGAGACAGCAGGCCAGGTTAACACTGTGGAGACGAGGCTTCGGGGCAGGGGTGTGTGCCAGTCAAAGCCCACTGGGCAGAATGGAAGTAACACCCCCTGCCCCCAATGGATGGAGCCAAAGGCCTTGCCCTTGGACTGCTTCTATTCACAGTGTGAAAAGAAACATCTTGGGCACGATGAGCTAGGTGGAATGTGCTGGCTGGGAGGAGGCATCTAGTCCTTCCTCTCCTGGGGCAGCTGAGGCAGGGCAAACTGGGGCCAAGGCCCCAGGGTACATCCTCAGCTCTTTGCCCCTTCCGTTCCTCTTGGTGGGACTCAAGAGGGTCCTTGCCCCACCCTGCCATGGGCCTGCCTTGGCTTGGGACAATGACCGGGGCCTGGGCTGGCGCTCTCGGCCTCTCATACCTCTCTGGTCGTCTTCTTGTCCCCAGGTGCTCAGCAGCGACATCTCCAGCTCCAGCGGCACATCCAGTTCCATGCACACACAGTGGACGAACGCCTGCCATGTGTCCAGGCCTTGGGCGGAGAGCCTGCTGAGCTGCCGGACGATGTGCTGGGCAGGGTCTGGGCTCTCGTTCCTGGGGCCCAGGTCCACATGGGGGACAAAGAACTTGACCTTCGCGGTCAGCCATTCTGCATGTTTACTGAGCAGCGTCACCACTGAGCTGAACAGGTTGCTGGTGCCCAGCTGCATGTTGAGGAGGTCCATGAGGAGCTGGCTCTGTGGGGACGGGGGTGGGGTGGGGTGAGTGTGCTGGGGGGGTGGCAGGGGGTCGGGAGGCAGATGCACTTGAAGGAAGCTGAGCCAGGAGTCAGGTGAGTTGGGGGACCCAGCCCTGGGTGGGTGTGCTGCTTCCACCTTCCCCTTCCTATCTGTGCATCTGCTCACTGACTCTGGTCCAGTCCACCCCCTTGAGGGTCCCCTGAAGATAGTCTCGGGACAGAGACAACCAGTCCCCCACATCTGTTCTCAACCTTCTTCCTTAGCAATCGAGCCCCTGAGTATGTATCCCCAGTTACCTGGAATCAAGAAGATATCTCTCAGCCTCCTTTTGAGTTAGAGGTGGCTGGGTGATATGTTTTGACCGATGGCACAGCTATGGAAATGTTTCATATCCTCCACTTCTGGTTGGCTGGATGTTGGTGCAATGTCACACTCTGGGCAGCTACGATGGTCCATTTGAATGGTGGTGTGAGGGAAGAAGGCCAGAAGTCCCCCGGACTGCCAAAAGAACAAACAAGTCGGTCTTGGAACAAGTCCTGCAGAATGCTCCTTAGAAATCATGGTGGGGAGACTTCATCTCACGTAAAATTTGGACATGCTGTCAGGAGAGACTCCTCTCTGGAGAAGGGTCCAGGAGAGGGGCAGAGCAAAGCAGGAAGACTCTGGACAAGACGGTTTGACCCAGTGGCTGCTACAACGGGCTCACCCCTGACAACAATCGTGAGGAGGGGGCACGACCCAGCTGTGCTACCTTCTGGTGTGCACGGGGCCCCTGGGGGTGGGAGCCGAGTCAACAGCCCCCCACAACCGCAACCACAGCCACAACCACAAGCACGCGGTGGCCTGTGAGATGGAACCAGGGTTGAGGAAGGTGGAGAGAACAGTGGGCCCTGCATTGATTGCTTTTTCCCTCTTTTAGCCTTTTCTTTATTTTACTTCCTTTGTCACAGTGGTCTCACATGTTTGCCCTTTTGTGATTCCCTCACTTTACTCAGCACAATGACCCCTCATTCCATCCATGTCGGGAAGCATCAATTCCCCATTATTCTTAAACATCGCGTCGTCTGGGATGATGCGCTTGGACCGTGCTTATTTCTCCATTGTTTCCACCTTTTTAAAAAAATAGTTTTATTGGCACTTAATCCACATAGCGCACAATTCAAAAGTTCAATCATATCAACAAGGGTGGTATAATCATTACCACAATCAATTTTAGGACGCCTTCTCCCCCCGCCCCCTCCCTCATGGTTAAATCGATTTTAAAGTGAGTTGTGTAATCGCCCTCAGGTCTAGTGCTCCCCCAACCCTGCCTTTCTCATCCATGAAAGGGAACTGCACTTCGGTCTTGGTGAAACCATTGCTTAGGACTGTTCGTGACCCACGGGAAACTCTAATCCTAGCTAATACAAACCAGCTAGCTCCCGCATCTCGCTCAACCACGCCTTCCCTTTTTAAAGCGGGAATTCCAACAACTTGCTGATGGGGGTACAGACAGACGGCATTCTCTTACATACATATTTGCATAACCAGTGGCTAAAATGGGCAGGTCCTTGATCCAGCATTTCTATCTCTAGCATTCTAATCATGGCGAGCAATGAGGAATTTACATAAAAATTCTAATCACAACGATGTTCACTGCCAGAATATGTATAATAGTTAAAAACGGAGTCACCTAAGTGTCCAAGACTCTGGATTGGTTCAGTGGTGGCCCATGCATACAGTGAGATATTTTATATGTACTCCCCCAGGCAGCCGTATTTCCTTAATAATAGTAGAAATACTTAAGAATTTTCTTTGTGCCAGGTACTCTTGCAAGCGCTTCATATAGCTAGTCATGCTGTGTCATGGTTAATGCTGTGTCAATTGGCTAGGTTAAGATTCTCAGTGGTTAGTTTGGCCAACGTGGGTCTGATGGCTGTTCTGTAACATAATCTAATACAGTGTCATCTCCACCATTATGAGTTTGGATGTGAGCAGGCAATCAGTGGAAAGGGTTATTTCCCTGGGTTGGGGGTGGGGGGTGTCCGCCCCCCAGTACACAAATACATATTCTAGTAAAGGCTCATTCTTGCAGCCAATTCACATCTGACCATTAGTTCTTGACATGTAAGCCTGAAACCTGCCACCTGCTTGGTGTATTTTGGTATTTGATAGCTTCCACAGTCCCATGAGTCAGCAGCCTGTCATCTGACTGGTCAGTTTTGAGGTCACCAGTCCCTGCAACCTTATGAGTCAACTGAAGCCTCTGGCCTGAGTCAGACTTGGGACTTTCTAGATTCAACAAGTGCATGAGCCATCCGCTTGAATGAAATCACCTTCTGGAGAGTAGCTGAGTGCTCCCCTAGAGAACCCTGCACCCTAAGGTGCTCATCTAATCTTCACAACCCAGGCAACTTGACTGCAAACCCTGAAAAGGGTTGGGGGACCACCCAGGAGCCACTCTGGTCACTGCCTCGAGGTTGGGCATGAGAGAGTGGGACTTGGGGACTCGGAACTCTGCTTCTCCTTTGGTCCCTAGTAAGGCCCTTCTGGACACGTGTGCCCAGCTCTTATGGTCACCCCTCCTCAGCTGGACTAATAGCAACAGGTCCTCACTCAGATATAGAACTTTAGACTCCATAGGCATCGTGGTCGTTACATAATCTGGTGTCAATTTGAGGATTAAGAGTGCAGGGGTGGAGTCCAGGCTGTCAATCAGGATGTAGCTAATGAAGCCTCTGTGTGGGCATAGCCTTCCCTTAAGGATTCTGGGAATTCCTGGATTTCTTCCTTGGAGGTGGGAGAGACTCTCTCTCACTGCTCACTTCCTTGGAGACTCTCGACTGACAAGGCTGACTCCCTATGAGACATCCCTGAGGAGACACATGGACCAACCCTGATGCAGCCAGAACCCTGGACCTGGAGAAGCCATGTGGAGACCCCTGACAGCGCTGAGATACAAGATCCAAAGACGCCACTAGATCTAAAGACTTTCTACGCACTGGCCTGTGATTGTCCTGTATTCAGCATCATTGCATGTGTTTTGTGAGTCTGAAGAGGACTTTATAGATTGGTATCAGACATAAGGATTAATATCAGACTTATGGGCTTGGACTGGACTGGGTTGGGATACTTTCTTAATGTACACTTACCCTTTATATAAAACGCTCTCTTATACACATATGCGTTTCTATGGATAAATTGTTTCTCTAGTCTACCCGGACTAATAGACATGCTTACCCCTATGATCTTCTGGGGTAGGCAGGGCTCAACACTCCCACTGAACAGTTGAAGAAATCGAGGCCCAGGGAGGATAAAGGATGTGTCCAAGTTCATACAGCAAGACCATGGAAGAGCCAGGATTAGAACCAAGAGTCATTGGCCTCGAGGCCAGTACATTTGCCTTAGATGGCTCCTTAGAAGCAGAAATGGTGAGACTTTGCCTCAGGAACGTTGGACACGTTATCAGCAGGGGCAGTGCCTGTAAAAGGATAGCACACTTGGTGAAGTAGAGAGGTGTGGTAGTTACATAATCTGGTGTCAATTTGAGGATTAGGAGTGTCGGGGTGGAGTCTAGCCTGTCAATCAGGATACAGCCAATGAGGCCTCTGTGTGGGCATGACCTTCTCCTGAGGATTCTGGGAACTCTGTATTTCCTTGTTGGAGGCGGGACACACTCTCTCTCTATGCTGACTCCCTGAGAGACACTCTACTGACAAGCCACACGTGGAGACCCGTCAGTAACGAGATGCTTCCACTGCCACTGGATCCACAAGACTCCCCACCCACTGGCCTGTGATCACCCTGCATCCGGCATCGTTGCATGTGTTTTATGAGTCTGAAGAGGACTTTATAGATTGGTATCAGACATATGGACTAATATCGGACTTATGGACTTGATCTAGACCGGGCTGGGGTATTTTCCCAATATTCAACTGCTCTTGTATGTAAAACTCTTTCTTATACACTTGTGAGTGTCTATGAATTTGTTTCTCTAGTCTACTCAGACTAACAGAAGAGGCAGTGAAAAAAAGCAAGACCCTCCCTCCACAAGATGGATTGCCACGGTGGCTGCAACTGGCTCACACATGACAGCAGTTCTGAGGATGGTGCAAGGTCAGGTGTATGTTGTACAAAGCTTGTTCTGTTGTATGTAGGGTCGCTTTGCTTTGGCACCAAATCAGTGGCACCTACCTGCAGCAATGTGGCAGCACTAGGAAACGAAGGTGCCCAGTGAGAGAGACTTAGAGTGCCTGGGCTGAGTACTGTGTCCTGAGTGGGACTTGCAGGTTGTTTCTGTTGTGTGCACCCCTAAGGAAAAATGAGACAGGACAAGCACCTGACTCTGCCAAGCTCCAAGATAAATGCTACCAAGAAGGTGCCAGGCCTTGCTCCCGGCTTGCAGAGCCACATCTGGGGACAGGCAGCCCAGAAACCGACCCTCCCCTCCCCCTTGGAACTGTATGAAAGGGTCGCGGCATCAGGAAGGTTGAAAACCACTGTGTTAAATGGTGGGTTAAGCTAAAGGAAATTAGATCCCCAAATTGCCCCCTTGTGCAAAGATGGGGGACCGGGTAATAATATTAGAGAGAAAAGAATTGTAAGAGTGGTGTCAGCTATTGGATGAGAATGAGGATTAGGATGAAAGGGAAAGAGGATTAAGGAGAAGAAAGATTAAAAGATTAAAAATAAAAAGCCTAGGTATAAAGAGCTGTGAAATACATGCTTAGATATCAAAATTAAAGAAGGAAAGGGAAGAGCTAAAAGTCTTCAACAGAAAAACAGATGCGGCAGGCACACTTGTAACCTGAGGACTTGAGCCAGACACACCTGTTGTCTGAGGAAGCAGAAAGAGCAGTGAACTGTTGGGTGGCGGACAAATGAGGTCTTGCTACATCCACGCCCTGTGCACTGTATTAAGACAGGTGTCGTTCTGGCCACCCTGTGACGGCCATTCTGTTATCTTCTGCTCATGCTTATGTAGATAAGGGTGTACCTCAGAGGTGCGCCACC